CCCCCCCCCCCGGACTTGTAGTTTAGTCTTTTTGCCAGTCTGCTATAGCAGCTCTCTGTGGCTATTTAAGGAAACTCAATCAGTGTTGTGAGAAGAGAGGAAGAAAAAAAGAATTGTCAGTCTGACATGGGAGGCTGAACAATGACTTTAGATCAAAAGCTCTCCAGAACAGCTTTAAAATTATGAGGATAAAGCAGTTGGACGTGAAACCTGCTTTCAGTAGTGTAGCGGTCAGAGTGCTGGACCTGTGAGATCTAGGTCCAAGTCAGTAACAGTCTTGATACTCAGGGTGACATTGAGCCAGTCTCTATCTCAGCCTGACCAACTTCACAGGGTTGTTATGAAGATAATCTGAGCAAGGAGAGAAGCCACACAGGATTCCTTGACCTCACTGGAAGAAAGGCATAATATAATTGAATACATGAATAAATAACCATAAAAACCACATATATAAATAAATAAACATGAAAAGCATTGGTAAAAGTATCACATCAGAGTGATACTGGATATATGAACCTGCCTTATAGAGTCAGAATACTGGCCTATCTACATAAATATTTTCTTTGGTGGTGTCAAGAGTGCCACGACTGAGTTAAAGATTTCTCCTAACTTTACTCCAGCATACCTATGCTATCAAACTCAGGACAAACCTACAACTGTAAGAATCTGCTTTACCACTAAACTATATTTGTTGTATGTGTGTGTGCGATAGTAGCCACATATGACTGGCACTTTATTTTCTTCAAGTTAATTGGACAGGCAATGCAAGTTATTTTTTGCAAAATATTTATTTTAAAAAACTAAAGTAAATATGGCAACAAACATTAACAAACCCCAACTTAAATAGCAGAAGACAAGACAACCACCGTATCTCTTCTCTCTGTGTTATTCAAAGTCGGTCTTTACAACTTTAGTGTCAAGTATGGTCAGCATGTCTTCCCAAAAGGGAAGCCACATGTAAACAACCTGGATATATTTATAGATGGGGCCTGCTTTTAGCTGCTCAAAAGGCATCTTGGTTTTTGCCACCCCATAACTAAGCAGCTCTCTCACAAACTGTTGAGCCTCTTCAGCATTTGCTGAAAGGGAGGGATGGCAAAGGGGTCACACATTTTGCAGGTGTGTGCAACTATTTTGCTGTAACAGAACAAACATTATCAGTTAAACAAAAAAGAAACAGAGAGACAACTTATTTAGCAGAAGCACAGAAGCAAGTGCAACCAATTCACAAAAGTACCTTCTCTTTCTAAATACCAAGCTGTGAAACTGTGTAATTGTTAAAGTCTCTGAAGTCCTCTGTGTGG